ATTACTTCATTGTATATAAACTTGATCGCATAATATAAAACAGTATTCATTAGTATTAACTTAAAAAGATGTTGCAGATTATATTTTCCAGCCACAGTAACCCCATTGATTCAACTGAATTAGAACAGCAGGGAATCTCTGGCATTGAATTCCTTCCGCTGTTATTTCTGCGTCTAGAGAAGAGAGGATAATTTGCAAGAAGGCCTCATATAAATATTTTTTATAGCTTAAGGCTATTATTTTTCTACTATTTACATATATGTGTCAGAGTAACTATTAATAGGTATAGTTAAATCCTGTAAATTCATCCTGATCATTTCCTTCAGCGCTTCAAAGATAGAAATGTCAGCCAGAAAGATGCAATAAATGAAATGAGTATATTGAAAAAGGTGCAAAAGTCTTTCTCTTTCTGAAAAAAAAGTATGTAAGTGACCCTTCTGCTTCTTATTGTTTCATTTTCATATTTTCCTTCCTTTTCTGGAAAAAAATAGGAGAAATGAGTGAAAACTAAAGGCCCTAGGGCCAAAACCTATTGAAAAAAATAGGAAAATCACAGAATCACAGAATCGTTTAGGTTGGAAGGGACCTCTGGAGGTCGTCTAGTCCAACCTCCCTGCTCAAGCAGGGTCACCTAGAGCATATTGCCCAGGATCACATCCAGACGGGTTTTGAATATCTCCAGGGAAGGAGACTCCACCACCTCTCTGGGCAACCTGTGCCAGTGCTCTGGCACCCTCATAGCAAAGAAGTTTTTCCTCATATTCAGACGGAACTGCCTGTGTTTCAGTTTATGCCCGTTGCCTCTTGTCCTGCCGCTGGGCACCACGGAGAAGAGTCTGGTCCCATCCTCTCGACACCCTCCCTTCAGATACTTGTACACATTGATGAGATCACCTCTCAGACTTCTCTTCTCCAGGCTGAACAGGCCCAGACCTCTCAGCCTTTCTTCACAGGAGAGATGCTCCAGTCCCCTCATCATCTTGGTAGCCCTTCGCTGGACTCTCTCCAGGAGCGCCATGTCTCTCTTGTCCTGGGGAGCCCAGAACTGGACACAGTACTCCA